TGGTGACAGGCGCCTTAGTGGTGGTCACGGGTGCAGCGGTGGTAGTCACAGGGGCAGAAGTGGTGGTGACCGGGGCAGCCGTGGTGGTGACAGGCGTAGCGGTGGTAGTCGCAGGGGCAGCCGTGGTGGTGACCGGCGCAGCAGTGGTTGTCACCGGCGCAGCGGTCGTAGTCACAGGGGTAACGGTGGTGGTCACAGGCACCTTAGTGGTGGTCACAGGGGCCTTAGTGGTGGTTGCAGGGGCAGTGGTTGTGCTCACAGGGGCAGCGGTTGTGCTCACAGGGGCAGCGGTTGTGCTCACAGGGGCAGCTGTAGTCGTGACAGGCGTAGTGGTTGTGGTGGGAGTCTTGGTTGTAACTACGGGGGCGCGCGTAGGGTACCCCGGGGCTGCAGTAGTGGTGCCCTTTGACGTGGTTGTGGGAACCTTTGTTGAAGTTCGAGGGGCGGCAGTCGTTGTCACGGGAGTACCAGTGGTTGTGACGGGGGTTTTCGTGGTCGTGACTGGGATGGCAGTTGTTGTCAAAGGAGTTGTCGTAGTTGTGGGGGTCTTGGTGGTGATTACAGGGGTGGCTGTCGTAGTGGGTGCCTTGGTACTCGTGGCAGGGGCAGCTGTGGTGGTGGTCACAGGAGCGCGAGTGGAATATGCAGGTGAGGTGGAGGTGGGTTTAGACGTCGTAGTTTGGGGAACAGCTGTCGTGGTCGCGGGTGCAGCGGTGGTAGTCGTCGCAGGCGCACGAGTACTGTAGCCAGGCTCCGTGGTCGTAGGCTTAGGAGGACGGGTTGAATATGCAGGTTGGAGCGTGGTGGTGGCGTGATCGCCGCGAAGAACCAAAGCGCGGGCGCCAGGCACGTTATGCTTGGCACCTTTGGCGTGCTTGAGCCAGCACGTCCCGCCTTGGTGGTTGGTCCACACGAACAGCTTGCATCCGTCGGTGTTCTCACAGTCTTGGGTACAGAGCTCCGCATACTTGCGGGAGGTGCTGGTGAGATCGTTGCCTTCGTAGTCGGTGTCTTCCTCAATGTCCGAATCGTCGTCGTCATCGTCGTCATCATCGTCGTGATCGTTGAGAGAACCAGCGACGGCACCATCCAGTTGCACCCCTTCGCCGTGACCGCTCTTGAGCCAGCAGGTACCGCCTTGGTAGGTCGTCCATACCCAAACCTTACAATCGTCGTTCGCAGCGCAGTCGTTGCAACACTCGGACGAGTCGGCTTGGGACGTGGAGCCAACGTCGAAACCAGGGTAGTCGATATTTTGTTCCACGTCGTTGCAGAGAAGCTTGTTGTGGTTCCCAGCAAAGACAAGGGTAAGCCCCAAGGACGCGAGCAGCATGGACGGAACAGCAACCATGATGAGAGTGGGGGTAATGTACCGAGATGGGTTGGATCAAGGCAATTCAAGAATGAGCTCCCCTCCCGTCGTAGAACCAATGTTGGCATCCCACTGGAAGAGCCGCATGATACAGTGCCTCTCTGCCAGGTGGTGGTGAATGCCATCGAGTATCAGATCCAAATGGTGGACCTCCAGGAGGGGGCAAGGCAACCAATAGGATTGCTTGATTTTTCAGTCCACCAATCCAAAGCCTCTCGAGACTCAACGTTGAAGCTATCCCGACCAATCAGTGGCTCGATGTCGTTGGCCCCTGCCACCGACCACATTGCACTGACTTTTCAAATTGCACTCTCATGTTGCACACTTAGGACACTCTCACGGCAATGTCCAAGCCCTTGGCTTCCTCAATCGCTGCCTGGCAAGCGGGGACGAACGAGTACGTATGTATGTATGACGGCCACAACCTCGAGAAGGGTACTACAGACTGTACTGACAAGTGATAAAAGAAGTGTACTACTGAGAAGTGAATACATTCAATCATTTTCCGCGACGTGGTCACAGCTCTCTCACCTTCACCATACTACAGTAGTACCGGTAACGTTAGTAGACATGTCGGTTGCAGCATGTTGGTTGGTTAGCTTGAGGCAGAGGATTTGCATCTTTCGTTATTGGTGTGTAGAGTTTGTGGCTGTAAACGCTTGTGGGGCAGAGGCGGCGACGACGAGACGAGAGCGCGCGACTCTACATCGCTTTCGGGCACTCTCAACTCTCCACCTCCCGCCACGAACGTCAGCAATTACACCCATGTTCTTGTCGTTCTTTGCAGGACCAACCATTGATGCGTCATTGCTCATGTTTACAATATGATCTGCCTCAATGCGTCCTCGTGATACTGTAACGAAGGGTGTTATAGTATGTTACGTCGCCTGTCTCGGATAACGGGTGAGGTCGTTTGATTCAAAAGACTGTGTTAATACTACACGGAAACGTTATTAATACTCCAGAATAGTATTCTTGTGAATAATTTCGACCACGAGCATCGACATCATCCTTGGGGAGGTGTTGGTGTGGGACTTTGCAGGGCTGGTGTAATAATAATGGCGGCCAAGTGAAGTGATAGCTGTAATTCATCATCCGTACAATGTTGTAATAAGCCTCGCCTCGTGAACGGTTGTGATGAGTTCTTGTGTGGGTGAAGACCTGCCAACCACACATTGTATTAGGCCCTCGGAAAAGCTTTCGACAATCACACCTTACAGTATCACATGGTACGACACTTGTAGGAATGTCAGATTTCGTGAAAATTTGGGCGGCTGCGAGGAACCAGGTGCAGGCAGGTGAGTACTACCGCTGTATCAATTCAGACTTACTCATACCGTCTTTTACTGTGGCAGGCACTTGCCCGTACATGGATTCTTGCATTACAGTAAGCTTAACAGTGAGATGCAACGAGCTGAATGCACCCATGGCACCCATGGACGACTCTACTGGCACGTCACGACAACCACTACTGTAACTCTAGTTGTACGGGTGTGGAAAGTCGAGTACAATTCAGACATTCGAACTGCCGTGGAATTTCCAGCTGTCAGTTGGTATGGGGCGTTCGACATGGAGTCAATGGAACTGCTGGCGCTTTCGGTGCAATGAAACCAGCAAATCATTTGGTTTATTGGGGGAAACCGCCCCCCCTGCCGTTTAGTCTTGGGGTTGTGCGATTGAATCGGTGAAATAATAAGGTGGTTCATGTAATATCCGGCCAACTTGCCAGCGCTTGCTACTACTGTAACTGACGTACTCTACAATTAGGTCTGCTGCAAGGGCCAAAAGGCTAGCGTCGTCACTGGCAAGTGCACGTGGCAGATCTGGTTACAATGGAGCTTGCCATCAATTTTTAGCGCAAAGTGGGAGAGATGTACCGTAGCTGACAGTGTGCATCAACGATGGAGTCGACTCTATCTAAGTATACCAGATATAACACGGCTCATCGTACAATAATCAGCATAACGAGCACGATCAAATTGCACTGAGAATCGAGGCTTGAAATTGCTCAATATATCACCTTTGGAACTTCCCGCTCTCACAGCGCGATCTTACTCATTCGAAAGAGAACTCTCTGGCCATCAACTTCGTGAGGACACCCACACGATGCTGCGCTGTTTTTGTGGTTGAAATTGATGAAAGCGACCGTACACGCTCGCAATCAGTACCTTTGACCACCATAACACAGCCTGTGGCTAGACTGGAAGTATGAACTCCCTGTGCATAATTGTCAGATCCAAATACTTGACGGCAAGGATTCCTGCAGCGTACTAAATAGTTCGGCCCACATGTGGGCGGGCATACTGTAGTTTGAACCGCGACTGTCGCGTGCGAATAGACAGGACGACAAATAACTTGGGAGGTAGAGCCAGTGCAGGTTGCAGTAACGTGGACAACGTTGTAGACTGGATCACATGATATATTTCGTGAGTTTGTTCTTGGTGCCTTGAGCCAAACAATCCATCCTCTTAGGCTGTCTGGGTGCATGGACCAGTTACCAATTGTTTGAGAGCATCGTCGATGCCTAGACTACCTAAATCTATAGACTACCTAAATCTATTGTCAGGAGGTCTAAGGGGCGACCGGTACAATCGCAATCCTGCGCCTTGTCAAAGCGCAGGCGGCCAATGCACTTTCAAATGCTGTAAGCAACAGTTCCACGGGTGCATACGTAATCCTTTACTTGTTCTTATTATATCATAGTCAAATGCAGTGTAAACCAAATCAACACATTCCAGTAGGGGTAACATTCCAGTAGGGGTAACTGTAAGTTGCAACTCAGTGGTTAGCGACATCTACAGCTGTACTGTCTGAGATGCAACTTCGAAGTAGTAACGCAAGGGGTCTGGGGTTTCCAAAGGAAGGTACCGTGGTTCTTTGGAAGGGAAATGAATGGAACGGTTTCGACAAATAGACATGTCGATAACGGCAAAATGAACAAGGATACAGTAACGTTAACGTTATCAAACTCCTACTGGTACTAGTACAGTAAGGCACAGCACAATTACACGATGTTGGCGGGGTACATATTACTTCGAAGTAGTATGTACCAATTGAGGACTCTGCTCCGCGCCGACATCGTTCTACACCATGGCCGTCGTTGTGGCATTTCCCTTTGTCGAAGGGTCAGTTCTGCGTCGCCGAGTTGCCTCATCGCAGTGCTTTATTGAGCAATGCGATACAAAATACCGTACGTTTGGGCGAAACGTCTCCCAAAAAACGGGGGAGCCTACTTGTTTCGCATCTCAACGTCATTTACTAAGCTATTTAGCCCACAACATCCGACTCGACCTTACGGATGCACTGGGCTATGTTTCAAGGCAATCAGAGCAATACTCCGTGAGGAGAAGAGTGCCCCATTTGCCAAAATTGCTCCACCTTGGACATTTGGCTTCTTCTCATGACATTTCAAAAATCGAAGTATTTATATTGCCAAAACAATAAAAATTTCATCTGATAATCATGGCGGGAACTCCATTT